TTGTACATATTTTACTTACAGGCCCATCAGTATTTTCGATCTGATGCTGTATTTAAACAACTTAAAGTTAGTTGTGCTTCAGAGTAACATCGTGCTTTGGTCACTGTGTTAGAACGCCCGCAGCAAGATGCATAATTAAACCCCGAGTTAAGACCCAATTCATGTTGTAAGATTAATAAAGCAGAGAGCAACAGATTGTGTTTTATGTGCATGAGCCTTATTTCCCCGCGTACTCGCACACAGTCACCCCGAATGAATGCAAAGAGCGACTTTAAACACGTGTTTGCAAATGGATGCATGCTGTACTTGACCATGTTTCACAGGTGTAGTCTTACACTACATGTCAACATTCGATCTTTCCTAGCACACACACACACGCACACACACACACACACACACACACACACACACACACACACACACACACACACACACACACACACACACACACACACACACACACACACACACACACACACACACACACACACACACACACACACACACACACACACACACACACACACACACACACACACACACACACACACACACACACACACACACACGCGCGCACACAAAGGCAAATACACACACAATCATGCATTTGGAGTTCTGTATCCTCTGTCATGGCCTCATCCTCTTGAGACAAAAGCAAACTTTCTGACTAAAAGTTCAAGAAGAGCAGTTACAAAATCATGCAGCCGTTACACACAGGGTAGCTATTAACTGAACATTACATGTACATTTTAACATCATCAGCAGTGATATCTCCATTATATGTTATTGGATTAATGATTGATGGATAAAACTCATATTCACCATTCAGGATAAACTTTCCCAGTGGCATAATATCTCACATGCAATACAAGAGCTGATCAAATGTATCACTTCACCCACAATATATCAAATGTGGTCTCAAGTGAAGTCGATCTATGACTGTGAATTTGATTGAAAGACTGCAAAGAAATTCCACACTGGCTCCCTGCATTACGTCTTTAATCCAACTGCACATTCTCCTGTTGTAAAGACCAGTTCAGGTGAAGAAACTGATGCAGTTCAGTCTCTTCTTATTCTTGATCTGATCTTATTTCACTACATAAGATATTAATAATATGATAATTAAATTGAGGCGGCTGTGGCTCAGTTGGTAGAGTCGGTTGTCTCTCAAACGGAAGATCAGGGGTTCGATCCCCAGCTCCTGTAGCAACATGTCCCATATTTATTTTTCTTCATGTCATATTTCAACTGATTTTGCTTATTTCAATGACTTCAATGGCTTATTTCAATGACTTGACATTGGTGAGAGTTGGGCTGTGTAAGGTGCCCCTGTGGGGGAGGGTATCTAGAAGCCTGAGCCCGTCTGTGAGCTGTGACTTGATACTTGAGAGGACGATCTGGGGTGGATTGTTAAACAGAATCCATTTTGATTAGGCGAGACCAGCAGGTGACTCTGTGCCCATCTGGAAGATAGGACTCTGTGGTCAGAGACTTCAGAGCACTAACACTTGAAGGGCGTGCAGAGCAGATAACATCATTGTATTCCAGATTTGAGATTGAAGATAAAAGATTTCAGATTTGAGACAAATTTGAGATTTCATTTCTTAATTTTGCTTAATGTCATATATCTTTGTTGCTTTATTACTTATCTTTTGACTTATTTTAAATCTGTGTTTGTTAAAGGTTGTTCTCATGATTTTTAAACGTCTTCTTTTAATGTCTCTTTTTCCCCTTTGTCATAATGCTTGATGAAGTCTTGTGTGGAGCACTTTGCAATGCCATGTTAGGGAAATGAGCTAAAGAAATAAACAAGTTGTGAGAAATGGTGCAAATAAATCCTTATCCTGCCAGCAGCACGTAAAAGAAACAGAACAGGGTGAGAGTGATTAAAGAAAGAGAAATGAACAAGTAGGAGGAAGTGAAAAGGGGAGAAGTAGTTGTGTCTGGTGTGTGGTTGTGTGTGTGTGTGTTCGACAGGAGAGACGGAGGGTTTTTAATAATTGAGCGAGTCTTTACCTGAAAATTCAATCTCCTTTTCAACACCTCTTAGAGAACACGACACCAAAGCTTGTCTCTAATTGCTGATCTTTGCTTTTTCACTGCAGATTTTGCTTACAAAGGCCTTGGTGGAAACTAAGCTGGAGTTACACTGCCTTCTCGGGTGGCAGGGAGATGGATGAATCACAGACTTACACACATACACTCACATTTAATTGTAGTAGATCACTCTTATACACTCTCAACCACAATGCCCGGAACAACTGGAAATAAACTCAACAAAAACTCATCACTTGTAGAGCATGAATAAATCATAATTATAGTTGACATTCAGCAACTTCTAAAGACTCTGTGGTGATAAATTCACAAGAGATGACTCTAAAACGCAGCTTTTACTTCCACCCAAACTCAAAGGAATGTCCCAAAATAAATTTAAGATAAAAAAAACAATAAATTCAACCTGCTATTCCAACAAAGAAAAGTAAGAATTTAAAAAGTATCGCAAACTCTCACTGTTTCATATTAGAACTACAAGGAAATAAAATTATAATAATTTAATTCTTAACAATACAGTGGGAGCAAACTTTACTGTTGAATGAATGAATTCATATTTTGCTGCCGTGCTTGATAATTTACATGACCCATCCCACACGGAATTAACTGAAAGTTAGGGATGCACTGATGCATCGGTTTAACATCGGTATCAGCAGATGTTGGCCCTGTTGACAGACGTCAGCACATCAGCAAATAATGTAATAATTTACTGTGTTGATCCCTGAAATGCAGTAATCAAACACTTGTAGATATAATGCAGAAAATACGGGTATCCAACTGGAAAGTAACTGCATACGTGCATCACTGCTTGACACTCTGCTGGCGAAAGAGAACCGTTGTAATAAAATGAAACTCAAATGAAATGCTGTTTGACTGGTGAATCAATCTAGCAAGATCGACACTGCGACAAAGTAGCCGATAGTCACTTGATATGCTCGTATTGGCCGATATTATCTCCTGGCCGATTAATAAACGGGCTCTACTTCCAAGTACACAAACGTCTTTCCTTTTTCATGCAATCAGAAGAGTTGGACTTACATTTGCATTTGATGGTTTCTCTAGCATCCAAAATGGTACAGTGCTTCTGATAATCTATAAATACCACTAACATACCACTAACACTGAAGTGTATTGATATATTCTTACATCCCTATAGTTGCAGGGGGCTGAAGTCAATCCCAGCTGTTATTGGACCAGATTCCCACTTCTAGGGCTGACACACAAAGACAGAAATACTTCACTGAAATCATCTTTAGGAAAATATTTTACGTAGATGTAGCTTTTTTTGTTGGCTGAATTTGAATGTGATGAATCTAAGTAGTGATTGAAAATATTCTGTCCATGTTTCACTGTCAGCAGGCACCAGTGTGATTTTATGTCCCTCACACAAACACATTGCTTCTTTTTCCCTTTTCTCAATTACCAGTGTGTTTCTTTGTCCCCCTCTTTCTACCAATACACCCAAACTAAAACACAAAGCTACTTTTTGTCCCACTTTCTTTCGGTCTCTGGCTTTTGTTCTCCATCTCTTGTATCTTCAAACTCGAGGTTAAAGGTAGATTTCCACATTCTATAAAACACAGGATTGAGCTGTACGCTTTGGGCATGTTGACAGAGTGAAAGTGTGTGTATGTGTTTGTGTGTGACTGACAGAAAAGGAAATGAGAGGTAAAACAGCCCCCAGAGACTCTGCTAATTCCACACACCAGTGTATTCTGTTTGCACAGTAATCGATAGGTAGCCTACTTAGGTGGAAACACTGCTGAGCAGGCAGATAGGAAGTTTGGAATAATGAATGTGAAATGCAGTGAAGACTGGCGTGCCATTTTAAAGGAACACTTTAAGACACACATACAAGAATCACTTCATCCTCCTCGCATCCTCCTCAACAGAAACATCCACTCATACACACACCGCATACCGTAAGTCTGATAGAACAGAATGAGATAATCCTATCAGGAGGCTTAAAATGAGTAATATGCATTGTCCCTGTAAAATTCAAATTAAATAACAATAATGAAAAAATGGGTTTGCTCTCACTTTATATTTAGGGAAATGAAATGATGACATTTAGCTGACTTTTAGCATTCATGTATCTTTAATCACTGATTCAAAGATGTACAGAGTTTAAAATGCTGCATAGAATGCCGTCATCATCTGTTGTAAAGCTAAAAGCCTGCCATACTGTAGCTTCTGAATCAGCCCGGGTAAAATGACTCGGCTCGAACAGTTATAGAGATTCTAAAATTAGCCAAATGAAGGTGGCTCATGGTCTTTGAGCTTACGGATTTATGGACTGTAAGGGGAGTTTCTGTTTGTTTTATTAGTAAAGCCTTAGATAAGATGAAAGGCTATTTGAAACCCATAAATCACAACCATAAATGAATCTCTTCAACTAAACCAGCTAATTTAAACTGTTTCAACTTCAATCTATAATTGAGAGATTTAAATTACGGTAGTTTCAAGTAAGTTCAATCAAACAATCAATCATGTGATAAAGCGAGACAACATGAGCGCTTCTAGTATCCATCAAACCTCCAGTGCTCATGGGAGGGAATACTTAAAAATAAAAAATAAAAAATTAAAAATAAAAAAGAGGAAAAACTAAGCTTAAAAAAATTGATATAAATGATCAAGGACCAGGCACCTCGATCACTTATACAAAGGTTTTTTTGGTCTTAAATTTTCCTCCACTTTTTTTTTATTGATCAATCAATCAATATGTATCTGTATAGCACCAATTCATAAAAGTATTTATCTGAAGACTCTTTTTAGAGCAGGTAACAGACCCTTTGCTCTTTGTTCAGTTGCAATCAAAAGAAAGTGTTGCTAACACTGAAACTGTGAAGCCAAAATGACATGAGTTGAGACATTTTTTTTACGAGTTTCATTATTAGAGCAGATATTAATGTAAGAACAGAAAATAAAGAAGGTTAGTCCTCTCTTACCAGGAGACACTGCCAGATGAAAATGATGCAGCTTGTCCTCATCTGGGAAATTGGCTTTGCATGTACCTGAACAAGAACAAATTGAGGGACAATTATTAGTAATTATAGTCAAAAGATGTTTGAAAGTCTACTGTCACTTTTTTAAACATGCCTCTACGCCAAATGGCATTCAAATTAAATGACTTTCATTTTCAACAACCACCTCTGAGGCCTCAGTAAGTGCACACTGTCCCTGTTGACTGAATGATTTGAACCTCAGGACTCCTTGTGGCCCCACATTTCCCCCTGGTGTTCAAGGACACGTACTGCACTTCAAACAATCAACATCACCTGACACAGCAGTCGACTATTCAAGTGTACAAACTTTGAAATCAAATTTAAAATAACATCAAAACTTTTCACTGAATAACGCTTTAATATTAATTTGATTTTGTATGAAATCAGACTTTACGTACAGTATTATTTTGTGAAGACTACAATGACACTGATTCAATTGCAGCAGTTCAAACCGTGTTGAAAAAAAAAAACAATCTGTCAGCAAAGCGGCACTCCACAAAGAGCTGATGGTTTGTTTATAACATTTGAAAATGTATTGGTCCCCTTCAAACTGTCTTCACCACACTCACTGAGCATTTATGCCTGCATTAGTGTAGAAATATGCAGGGAAAGGTTTGACTCAAATGCAACAATGTTGAGAGCATTTACAAGATCTGTGGAGCATTAAATACCCAAAGAACCATCAGACATATACAATACCTCCTTGTATTAATAAGAAAATATTAGTTGATAACCTCAGTTTGGTAATGCTTGAAGGAACAAATCCTCAACAGATTCATCAATTTACTGATTTGATTTTTGTCACAACATGCCTTAGCTTTACTTATACTCCTTTATTGTACTTGCACTAAATCATCTGTTTCACCACCTGTTCATGAGAGTGGGAATGTTAGAGAGGTTTTCTTAATTTGGAATATGATCGCAAGATAAAGTCTGACATGCTCAATGGGGCACGTTGTTCTGCTTTGACTCGGAGAAACCTTTTATCACATACACCTCAGAGCAAGAAGAACTTCATACTTTGGTAGTTAAAGTGAAAAATTGGCACTCATACACACTAAGTTGATGCTGTGTCATTAGAAGGGAAATTATAAGAGACAATTGATGAATGCCAGATATCTGCTCAAGCGACTTGTGAAAGCCCCTTCTGTTGAAGTGGCCCGTCCATTGGGTTCCTTCTTCCTTTCCTTCCTTTTTTCTTCAAAGTGTCCCTAGAGCACCACTGCTCAGTCTGATTATATAGGAACAGATCCCTTCCTCCTTTTTTCCTGAGTTCCTGCCTGCTCTTAATGGTAGAAATCCATCAGTGTCATTCAGTGAGTCCAGACGCACGGCAAAGAGCCAGCTTTCCATAAAGAATAGGGCCGAAGCCTCATGAAAATCGACACTTTACACAAGACCATATTCCATCTTTGAAGCTGGTAATGAGGCACAGAGCGAAAGAACTCGATGGTTTCTTTAAAGGCGCAGCGTCCTTATTCTGCCCTTATCCATCACCTACAGCTTCGACTAGGTGATTGTATTACGTTATATCAGAATGTGCCAACAAATCTGGAGCCAATCTTCCACTGAGCTTGTGATAAATTCACCAATGGTTTCTTACCATGATAATATCATTTTTGAGATATGTTATTGTGTATTTATATGCATGATTCAAATATATTTAGCTGACATTCCAGTCAACACTGAGAGCTAGGCCCCGTGTCCACCTAGCGTTTTTTTTTTCTGAGCACCAGCGTCTTTTTCCAATTGTTTTCAACGAGGAAAAAAAGCGCTGTGTCTTTTTTGTGCCGCTTTTAACGTCTCCTACAGATCGTGTCTTGTACCCACATCCTTTCTGATCAGGAAAAAAAACAATCTCAACTATAAAACATAAAGTAAAAGCAACAGAGCAGTGTCTGTAATACAGCGGCTGTTTTCAACAGGCTGTTGTCATAGAGACAGGAAGGACGTTCAGCGTTTTTATTCTCAGCGCACAAACGCTTCATGCAAGCAGTCCTGAGCGCACAGGCAGTGTTTTTCTGCCTAGCTGGACACAGGGCACTACATGTTTGGTTCCTTTTCTGTGTTTCATGGTTCTCAGCTGTGAGGACAATCTCATCAGATCAGAAACGGAAAAAACAAAAAACTTGTTGATTTCATGCCAAAGCAAACATAATTTACCTCAGCCCTCACTGCATAACAATTATCAGATTCCTGCCTAATG